CGACCCACCCATATGCTCACCAGAGAATTATTTGGCCCAAAACGTCCACAGTGCTGAGGTTGCGAAATACTGCTCTGGAGCCATCTTATCTAAATCTCATGACTGAGAATGGGAGTGGGAGTTGTTTCTCAAAGAAAAAATCAGAGTATAGTTCAGAGCGAAGGGAAAGTAATTAAACCATCAACCATCAATTACAGTATACTTAAAAAAGATTGAATGAATATATACACCAAATATTATCAGTAATGATTTCTGAGACAGTGTTCAATAATTTTTTACCTGCTTCTATTTTTTAATTTATGTAAAATGAAGTTTTGTGAAATGTAAAAAGTCATTTGAAGAGAAAAGTACAAAAGAAGTCTCTTTTCACCAAACAATACTAACCTCTTCCAAAATGGTATGCCTCAGTACAGGTCAGTTCCATGTGCATGCTTTTATCCACTGATACTGTCAGGTATCAACTATTTTGTGTTCTACTTTTTTCTCCTTGACATTATTTCATGTAGACCATTCCATAAATCCAGAGAGTCTTCATATATGACATTTTAATGGTTACATAATGTTTTGTTGTAATGCTATGTCAAGATTAACTTAGTCATTTCCTGGCTGTTAATGATTTTGGATTAATCTGCCATTATGAAAAGCATAGCTGTAAACTTCTTTGCAAAACTGGCGCTTTCTTAAAAACTCAACTCGCTATTGAGTTTTTTCCTTGGGATTTGCTCCCCAAAGCTAGTTTGCCAAATTGTGATCTTTAGTACATGTTGTCAGATTTCTTTCCAGAAAAAGTATGATACTACTTCTACAGGCAGCATAAGAGTCCTCAAAGCTCTGGTAACTTTGGATATAAAAAAAAAAACAACTATTATTAAAAATTTAATATGCATGAGGCAATATATTTGGCAATTTTAATTTTTAATGCTTTCATTATTATGGAAGCTAAACAGTTTCCTAAGTGTTTGTTTGCTATTTGTATTTTTCCTTGTGCAAACCATCTGTTCATATTCTTTAACCATCTGTCCAGTCAGACCTGAAATTGCCCATATAGATAATATTAATTTCCCTAATAGATACAATGTTGTGTTTCCTATTATGAGTATTATGATGCTCTCATATTTTTATTTTAATTTTTAAAATTCTCATATTTTTATTTTAATTTTTCTAATTTGAGACTAATCATTTTTTGTTCTTCACCTTGTAGTATGTATGTAGGTACTTAAATTTCATTCACTTGAACCTGTCATCCTTATCATTTGTTCAGTGCTAACTCCTTTTATTGCTTCTATTGTCGGAAAATTATTTTTATTTTAAAATGGATATATGCAATATTGTTTTATTGTGTGTGTGTGTGTGTGTGTGTGTGTGTGCGCGCGCGCAGTGTGTAGTAGGGAAGTTTACACTTCCCTCTGAAGTCAGCCTTCTGAAATAAACTGACAATAGAGTAGCAGAAGAAAAAGCATACTAATGTATTAAAGTGCACACGGACACATGACCCTGGCAAATACGACACTCAAAAAAACCTGAGTCTTCAAATGGTTGAAACTTATATATCTTCTTCATACGGAAGAGGGTGATGGCAGAGAAATTGTGCAAAGCTTATTCCAGCCCCTTATTCTTTCCAAAATGGTTTTTTGGTAGAGAAAAGCAAATTGGCTTCTGCAGTGATCTCCCATTTTTCGGTCATTCTATTTTATCTTTTAGGGATTTTTATCATCAGCAATTGTTTTTATGTGCTTATAGTTTGCAGGGAAGTGTGTTGGCCATACAAAGAGTCACAGTTATAGAACTCTGCTTTTCCTGAAGATTCTCACAATCAAATTCAGGACATCAGATATAAACTCTATCAACTTTATATAAACTCTATCAACTAAAATCCCAATAATAGTGATTTAAACAAAATATATATTTATTTTTCTCTCATGTAATTGGAAATCTGAAAGCAGGCAATCTAGGGGCAGTATATTGGCTCCACGCTGTCTTCAGAAACCTGGGCTCCTTCATGTCTTCTACTTTTTATCAAATCAAGATGTGGGTCTCATCTTCATGTATACCAGAAGATCGCCAGTGCTCCAGCCATCATGACTAATTTCCAAGCAGAAAGAAAAGGCAGAGTGAAAGGCTACTACTGAGCCAGGTCCTCTTTAACTGGTTTTCCTGGCAGCTCCCAGTGATGTCTATTCCTATCATTGTCCAAAACAGTCTTATGACTGCCACCAACTACTACAAGAGAGCTGGCAGGTGTAACATTTTAGCTAGGCATATTGCTACTCTTAATAAAATCAAAGATCTGTTTGTAAGTAGAGAGAGCAGATGCTGGCCAGGCAACTGGTAGTTTCTACCACTCAGTGTATGAAGTAAAAGGGGAAACATAAAGTAAGTTTTGTTCAGGCTAAGACCATGTGTCCAAAAATGTGAGATCAATGCAGGGCCTGGGTGGTTAAGTTGGATTTAGACAAATGGTGGTGAGAAGAGGGGGCATTTTAAGACCAGAAAGGGTTTGGGCAAAGATGAGGTAAAGGTCTGCCTAGGAGGTGTAAAGGAGAATGGTGGGAGGGAGGGAGGGAGGGACTTCCTCTGTGCTTAGAATGTCTTTCTGGGAGTGTGAGGATGTGCAGAAATGCAAGGATAGATTGGTTATCAGCTCTGCTTACCAATTACTGTTGTTCTCATTTAGTCTTCAATAACAACTAACATTTATTAAAACCAAGTATCAACCAAAGGCTTTGCTAGGTGTTTTAACATATATTGTATCTAATCCTTACGATAACCACATTTTGGGGATAAGAAAACTGATCTGTCACAGGTTGAATACTTGATCAAGCTCATGCATCTTTTAAATTTAAGATATTCTGACTTGGGTAGGTTTTACACCAGACTCCATGTCTTTTTTCCCCCTCAATGTCACAATGTTAAGTAATTTATTAACTTTACTTGGTTTGGGGATGAAGGTGGGTGAGTTAAACTACTATTCCTTGATATTTTCTAAATTCTAAACTTTAGGGAAACTTTACAGACTCTTCAACTAACTAGCAGTATGATCATAGACAAGGTACTTAATCTCTCTGGATTTGAATTTGTTTACTTACTACTCAGACACAAAACCAGATAGATACTATAAGAAAAGAATATTTCAGTCCAACATCCCTCATCAACACAGATGCAACAATTCTAAAAATGTTAATCCATGAAACATAGAACATAATCCAATAATACATAAAACAAATAATAAAACCAATAAAGCAGGCTTTATTGAAAAAGTACTAAGTTGGTTTAACATTTGAAAATAAAGTAACAAACTAAAAAAATAAAATAGGAAAAAGAGTATGATTATATCAATAGCTGCAGAAAAGCATTTGACAAAAATCCAACATCCCTTCCTGATAAAAACTCTCAGTAGACTACAAATAGAAGTTTCCTGAATCTGAGAGAAAATTTATGAAAAACTTATAGCTAATATCATACTTTATGGTAAAAGACTGAATGTTTTTCCTCTAAGATCAGGAACAAGCCAAGGATGTTCACTCTCACCACTTTTATTCAACATTGTACAGGCTCTAACCAGTGTGATAAGGCAAGAAAAAGAAAGCAAAGACATCTGTATTAAAAAGGAGAGAGTGAAACACTTTCTACACAAATGACATGATTTTCTACATAGAAAATCTGATGAAATTAATAAAATGTTACTAGAACTAAGAAGTGAGTTTAGCAAGATTTCAGAATACAAGATCAATATACAAAATCTACGTACTAGCAATCAGAGGTTGAAATTGATAAAACAATACCACAGCATCAAAAACATGAAATGCTTTAGGATGAACCTGTCAGAAGATGCGCAAGACCTCAACACTGAAAACTACAAAACACTACTAGTAGATGTTAAGGAAGACCTAAATAAATAGAGTGGCATATCATGAGTCAGAAGATTCAACATTGTTATGATATTAATTTTCCCCAAACTTATGGATAAAAATCACTGCAATCCCAATCAAAATTTAAGTAAGCTTGTATGCAGAAATTGAGAAACTGAATCTAAAATTTACATTGAAATACAAAAGACCTAAAATAGCCCAAACAACCTTAAAAAAGAACAGAGGTACAGTACCAATGCTAGCTGGTTCCAAGTCCAGTCATCAGGATACAGTACCAATACTACTGGTTCCAGTCCAGTAGTATTGATGTCAAAATAGACAAATTAATTAATTAATGGGACAGAATAGGAAGTCCAGAAATGGACCCAACATACTAATGGAAAACTGATTTTTGACACAGATTCAAAAATAATTCAGTGGAGAAGGGGTAGTCTTTCTAAAGTTGCTGCTAGAACAACTGGATATAGATATGCAAAAACAAAACAGATAAAAACAACGAAATTTTGGCCATATATAAACATTAATTCAAAGTGGGTCAGAGATCTAAATGTAAAACCTAAAACTATAAAAATTTTAGAACAAAACACGAGAGAAAATCTTTGTGATCCTGGATTAGGCAAAGATTTCTTAAATATAATACCAAAAAAAAGAACGATCCACTAAAAAATTGATAAATTGGGTTTTATAAAAATTAAAAATGTCTGCTCTTCCCAAGAAACTATTAGGAGACATAAAAGCAAGAGACTGGGGAAAAAAATATTTGTTAAGCGTATATCTGATAAAAGATTTTTATCCAAAATATATACAATGTTCTAAGCTCAATAATTAAACAACTTAACATTAAATGGGCAAAAGATCTGAACAGACACTTCAGCAAGGAAAATATATTTGCCGCAAATAAGCACATGAAAAGATGTTCAACGTCATTAACGATTACAGAATGCATCAGAAAGCCACAATGAGCTACCACTACACATTAAATCTCTGCACTACACATGAAAATCTCTGCACATTCAATGTTGGCAAGGATGACGAACAACTGGAACTCGAATAGACTGCTAGTGGGAATGTAAAGAAAAAAAAAAACACTTGGGAAAACAGTATGGTAGTTTCTTAAATGGTTACACCTACCTTATGACCTAGGCATTCCATTTCCAGGTATTTACCCCAGAGAAGAAAATCCGTATATGTCTGTACAAAGATTTGCACAGGAATGTTCCTAGCAGCTGTAGTTCTGGTCAGGAAAAACTGAAAGCAGCCTAAATCAAGTGGTGATTAGATAAACGCACCGTGGTATAGCCATAATGGAATACTGCTCAGCACTAGCGAGGTATGAATGGTTGTTGCTTGCAAAAACACTCAGGCATGTCAAAGTAACTATGCTGAATGAAAGAAGCCAGACAAAATCAAGTACCTATGGGATGATTCCATTTACGGACGACTCTAGAAAATGCAGACTAAAATAGATCAGTGTTTGGGCTGAGGAAGAGTGGAATGGGGATGGGTGGAGTGGGGCAGGGCGAGGGAGGAGCAGGAGTGGGAGGAGCTGGGAGATGCAGAGAAGGGCTGGGGAGGGTCTCATAGAAGGGAAGGGAGAGAGGAAGGGGGAGGAAAGGCGAGGGGAAAAGGAGGGGAACAGAGAGGAGGAGACAGAGGCAGAGTGGGAAGGAAGAGGGCCGCGGACCTGGAAGGGCCTAGGGCACGTAGCGGGAGGAGCAGGTGGGAAGTTGGGAAGGAGGGAGGGGCACGAAACGGAGAAGCCGGGGCGGGCGGTGGGGCGGAGCGTGGGGAGGGAGGCCGACTGGCTCCGGCGGAGGGGAGGAATGGGAGAGGGGTAGGTTGGGGGCAGGGCAGAGGCGGGCAGAGGGCAGAGGGTGGGGCGGTGCCCGAACGGGCGTCATGGCGCGACTCCTCCGGTTGCTCCGGGGCCTGCCCCTCGGAGTGGCGCCTCTGCGGGCGATGCGGGGCCGAGAGGGCGACCGCGGGCCCGGCGCGGGGCCGGGCCTGGGGGAGGCAGGTAGGACGCAGGCCTCGCAGGCCCCGCCGCCGCCTCGGGCTTTCCGCTTCACTTCACCCGCTGTACCCGGGGCCTGGGGCCGGTCCAGGCCGGGCGCTGCCCTCCTCTTCCTGAGCCCTCCGCGGCGCGCCCCCGCCTGAGGGTCTGGGACAGTGGATTGTAAACTTGGTGGTGGCGGGGTGGGGACTGATCCCTGTGAGAAGCCGAGGAAATGAGCAAATTATACCCCTAAATGTGCGCATAATTTTTTTTCTTTTTGGGCGGGGGGAGTGAGGGCATAGAAGTGGGGCCCGGGGGCCCTTGACCCTTATCGGGGACTCCAGGCAGGGGCCCGCTGTCGGGGCTGCAGCAGCCGGGCCCCGGCGCCCCTGTGAAGGCCCCCGGTATTTTGCACAGCAGTCCTCTTGGTAGTCCCTCGGGCTTCCTTCCAGCAGCTGAGAAGCAGGCAGTTCCGACTCGGTGTTCCTGTGGGTGTTCCCTGTCCTGCTGTCTTCCCATGAATATGTCTAGGAGCCAGGGAGACTGGGTTGATCGTTTGTTCCTTTTCAGGTGACAGCTTTATTAATAACGGAGACAGAGACCAGGGTGTGTGTGTGGGGGGGGGGGTCCTCTCTTGGATCTGAGAACGTGTGTGTGTATGTGTGTGTGTATCCCCTCTTGGATCTGGGTACCTGTACATTTTTTCACCAATCAGGAAGGACTCACCTCGGAGACCTGCGCCAGCCATCCCTGTATTTCAGGGCTGTTTCAGGGGAATTTAGTGCCCCAGAGGACTGGCATCCCGGGCAGTTGCCAGACTGTCCCACCTCTGAATCCAATATATGTGTTCATTGAAGAACTTCAGTGATACCCAACTGATGAAAATGTTCCAACTCATTCGGAGCTCTGTTTAGCCACTGAAGTTTTCAAAATGCTGTATTAAAAGAATACTAAATAAAAGCGCTGGCGTCGTGGAATGTTAGATGATCCAACATGACTTCCGGCTATGGCCTGTCTAACCCCTGGTGTCTCTAGTCAGTCAGTCTGATGACATTTGTTGTGAGCCTACTGTGTGCCAAGCATAGTTTTGCTGAGAACCACAGGTGACAGAAACAGATCACAGTTACTGACTGGGGATCTTTATCCCCCTTGGTACTGGATAGTGGTTTAACGGGAACTACTTTATAGCTGTAATTGCTGCTGTCAGAAGCAGCCTAATGAATTGCTCTGGGGTCTAAAGTTCTCCAGCAACATTAAAATTTGGCCAGACACCACTACATAACAGGAGCTGTGTACCTTATCAGACCCCCGCTCCTGAGAATTTATTCAAAGGAAATAGCTCAAAAGAAGAACAAAGCTATATATGCAAAGATGGTTTACATACTATTACAAAATGGAAACTGGCCATAACCCAAATCAGTTAAGAAATACTTACATAAATCATGAAAACTCAATCCAACAAACTGTTAGACAGCCATTAAAAATGATAAGCAGGTAGTAGTTCTGTGATGAAGGGATTGGGTGTGGATAGGCGTGGATTTTGAGTCTTGGCTCTCTGTGGCTTCCTGGCTCTGTTTGAGCCCAGGCTGCTATTGCAAAATACTGTGGAGTGCGTGGCTTCAACAACTGACATTTTCTAACAGTTCTGGAGACTGGAAAGTCCAAGATCAAGGTGGGACAGATTTGGTTCCTGATGCAGACGCTTTCTGGCTTGCAGTTGACTGCCTTCTCACTCCGCATTCATGTGACTGTCTCGGGAAGGACCACGAATCCGTCACTTTTATGATCGAATCTAAAACTAATAACCTCCCAAGCACCACCTCTAAATACCATCTCATTGGGAGTTAGGGCTTCAACATATGGCGGCAGGGAGAGGATCAGGGAGAAAGCTAACATTCAGTTTGTAACGGTGTCTTTGGACACGTTTTTGAATTTGGTAAGTTCCAACTTCAGATTTTTTTTCCTTCTATAAAATAAGGAAAATGGTAATGGTAGGGTAGGGTTGTTGTACAAAGTAACTTTTTAATTAGATGTTTTATTATAATGCTTCAAACTTAGCAGGTACACAATAAATATTAGTTATGATTAGATACATAAGTGGAAAGGACAAAAATGTAGCTTTCATTTAACTTACATTGTGGGCTTAGGGAGTCAGTTGAGAGAGAGAGAAATTGGGATGGGGGAATGAGAAGATGTTGAAATGGCAGTATTTTTCTCCAGTGCTGCAGTTTCTCATATGCTTAGAGTGATTTTGTTCTCCAGATTGACAAAGAGCAAACTGAAAAAGCAAAGTAAGAAATATCCTGGAGAAAACAATCTGTTGCTTCAGGAAAATATTCTTTACAGAGATGACTATGCTAAGAAACCATCCGGGGCATAGGGTTAAAATAGTCTAGGCACTGTGGTGGGAGAGACAGTTCTGCAGATCAGAATGGCCTGGGGATTCTTCTAATACCAGTATCTAGTGGATTCCATTAGATTCAACAAGTATTTATCAGAATGAAGTGGGTTTATGCATGACAATTAGCAGTATAGCAACTGTGGCTAGGAAGGTTAGCAAAACCCAAAGGAGGCACCTGGTAGGTGACTAAAGGACCAAGAGGGGATTTCCTTAGGGATGAAAAAATTGAGGCCCACCCCATGAAACTTCTGACCAAGATATGTGGCCTGTGCAAATCACAGCACTCAGAAAAGAACTCCAAGGAATTTGAGTTTATTAAGGCATTACTCAAAGTAAAGCTGTGTAGCTATCTTGTGCAAGAGCAGCAACCGATAAATGTTTTGATAGCAAGAGAATGTAGAGGGAATCTGGGAAACATATAGCCCCCAAAGGGTGAGCATGTGGTGCAGAAGACAGAAAGTACCTGGACACACACATACAAAAGGACACAACCAGTGTCGAAACATCTCTGTAGCCACGGAGGCCAGATGACTTGACTCATTCCCAAGTCAGAGACCTTGTTGTGTCTCTAATGTACACATGCCTAAATTGCTGTTTGTTAAAACTGCACAGAATTTATTCATACTGCAATTTTTATTTAAATTTTCATTGTTTCCTAAAGCCCCAGTGTGTTCATCTGCTAGGGATGCCATAGCAGAATACCATGGGCTGGGCAGCTTAAACGATGGAATTCATTTTCATATGGTTCTGGAGGCTGGAAGTCCAAGACCAAGGGGCAGCAGGGCTGATTTGTCCTGAGACCTCTTTCCTTAACTTGGGATAGCCACCTTCTTGCTGTGTCCTCAAGGTGACCTTTTCTCACTGTCTCTTCCTCTTATGAGGACACCAGTCTTATTGGACTAGGGCCCACTCTTAATGGCTTATTTTAACATGATTGCCTCTTTAAAGGCCCTGTCTCTAAATGCAGTCACATTTTAAGGTACTGGGGATTAGGACTTCAACATACGAATTTTGAAGTTGGAGGACAGGGGGTGTCACAATTCAGCTCTTAACATCCAAGTCAAAGAAACCTCTTAAAGTGATACAGCCCACATATATCCTGACCAGGGTGTACCCAAATGAGCTTTTGTCACTGGGCTATCAAAGCAGAGTCCGTCTGCCCTTGAGTGAGCCTTCTAGGCTGGCAAGTCTGCAGCTAAATGTTGTATAATTGGGGCTTGAGAAAAAACTAGTCCAAACATTATTGCCGACCCACTAAAGCTTTCAGATACATTAAAAATAGTGTAAAAGGTCCACACTGATAAGGATTAAAAGAACCATGAAAAATGTCCTTTCATATTGTACTTAGATGAAGACTTAATTATTTCATTTAGCAATTTAAATATTAGTTATATATTTTAAACTTAACAAGAAAACATTATGGCGTGGCACTGTGTCATGCACCTGTAGTCTCAACTACTTGGGAGGATGAGGAAGGAAAATCGCTGAGCCCAGGCATTCAAGGCTGTAGTGTGCTTTGATGGTGCCTATGAATTGTGCTCCATTCTTGGCAACACAGTGACACTTAGTCTCTTAAAAAAATTAGGGCCGAGGGAGAAGGTGGTGTCTGAAGAACAGATAGTCTCTCTCTAATAGGTGTGACAAAATATAGAGGTGTGGGAGACGGAGCTGGGAAACCCAGACTCAAGCCATAGGTTCAAAGCGAAGGAAGTACATGTTTTAAAGCTCAATTCATGAGAGTCCCACTGACTTTTAGCCCTTCTCTAATTCCCTCTTTCCAGTGTCAGCTGCTATACTGTGCTGCCTGTTAAGTCACACGAAGGACAGTGCTTCCAGGAGACAATAGGGTTTTTTTCTAAGCCCATTCCACTTCCTTCCTGAAAGGAGATAGGAAGATAAAGCAGCTTCACAGACTGTAAATTTCAACCTTAGTACCTGAAGTCAGTCCTCCTCTTATCTATCCACAGGAATAGATCAAGATCTTTGCCAAAGCCAAGAGGAAGGTGTTTTATCATGATGCTGTTTACTCCTTTCCTTGACAGATGTCAGTGATGGCCAGAGGTTAGGTCTCACAAGTTCCCCATGGGACTAGAGTTTAGATCTTGGAGGAGGAATCCAGGACATTTCACTCTTACTAACAAAGCCTGTTCTTGCTCTTTTTAGTGCCTCTGGCTAAAGCATTCCCTTTTTTCTTCATCTGGGGTGGACAAAAAGAGAGAGGATCCTGAACAGAAGTGGCAAAAAAAAAAAAAAAAAAAAAAGAAAAGAAAAAAGAAACACAGAAAAGAGGAGGCTGTATTACTTTGTTCTCACACTGCTATAAAGAAATACCAGAGAGAGGCCAGGCCTGGTGGCTTGCGCCTATAATCCCAGCACTTTGGGAGGAGGAGGCGGGTGGATCATGAGGTCAAGAGATCGAGATCATCCTCACCAACATGGTGAAACTCCGTCTCTACTAAAAATACAAAAATTAGCTGGGCATGGTGGCACCTGCCTGTAGTCCCAGCTACTTGGGAGCCTGAGGCAGGAGAATTGCTTGCATCTGGGAGGCAGAGGTTGCAGTGAGCTGAGATCATGCCACTGAACTCCATCCAGGCGACAGAGCGAGACTCCATCTCAAAAAAAGACAAAAAAAATAAATCCTGAATACAAAAGACTGGGTAATTTATGAAATAAAGCAGTTTAATTGGCTCATGGTTCCACAGGCGGTACAGGAAACATGGCTAGGGAAGCCTCAGGAAACTTTCAATCATGGCGGAAGGTGAATAGGAAGCAGGCAGGTCTCACATGGTCAGAGCAGGAAGAAGAGAGAGAAGGGGAGGTGCACTTTTAAACAACCAGATCTCTCAATAACTCACCATCACTAACTAGAACAGCACCAAAGGGGAAATTCGCCCTCTTGATTTAATCACTTCCCAACAGGCCCCACCTCCAACACTGAGGATTACAGTTTGACATGAGATTTGGGTGGGGACACAGAGCCAAACCATATCAGATGCAGTCACTTGTTCCATTGCGACAAGATGGAAAAAGGGTAGATAGATACAGGCATAGGTAAGGGTGATGATTTTGTTGCAAGAGATTGAGGGATTTCTTTTGTTGTGGGTTTTGATTTTACAAAAGCAAAATCATCTATTGAGAGGAAGGGGAGATGTAGTAGATACCATGGTGTGAGGAGAGTGGAAAGGTGTTTTTTTTTTTAATTAATTTCAATAGGTTTTTGGGGAACAGGTGGTGTTTCCTTACATGAATAAGTTCTTTCTTTCATGGTGACTTCTCAGATTTTGGTGTACTCATCACCTGAGCAGTGTACACTGTACCCAGTGTATGGTCTTTTATCCTTCATTCCCCCTACCACCCTTTCCCCCTTGAGTCCCAAAGTCTCATTCTTATGCCTCTGCATCTTCATAGCTGAGCTCCCACTTATGAATTAGAACATACGACATTTGGTTTTCTATTTCTGACTTACTTCACTTAGAATAATAGTCTTCAGTTCTATCCAGGTTGCTGTGAATGCCATTATTTTGTTCCTTTTTACGATTGAATAGTATTCCATTGTATATATACACCATCAATTCTTTATCCACTAGTTGATTGATGGGCATTTGTGTTGGTTCCATATTTTTGCAATTGTGAATTGTGCTGGTATAAACATGCATGTGCAAGTATCTTTTTCATATAATGAATTCTTTTCCTCTGGGTGGATACCCAGTAGTGGGATTGCTGGATCAAATGGTAGTTCTGCTTTTAGTTCTTTGAGGAATCTCCACACTGTTTTCCATAGTGGTTGTAGTAGTTTACATTCCTGAGATTAGAAAAGGTTTAAAACACCCATTGCAGAGAAATGGGAAGATAGCTGGCTGGGGAAAGAGAATACTCACTGTGGTTCACTGAAATCCCAGTGAGATGAGTAACTTGGAGTTTATAAGGACAACTCTCTCCCCAGGTGGGGGATTTTCTCCCGTAGTGCTTAATGGTACAGGGGTAGCCATAGAGAAGATAGTTTTTTAAATAAGCTTTTTTTATTTTGGAATCATTCTAAAATGATTTATAGATAAGTTATAAAGATAGTACAGAGTTCTCAAAACCCCTCACCTAGGTCCCCTGGTTAACTTCTGACATAATCATGGTACATATGTCAAAACTGTCTCCATCTTTCCTTGTTTTTTATGACCTTGACAGTTTTGGGGAGTACTGGGCGGGTTCCTTGTAGAATGTCTCTCAGTCTGGGATTGTTTGATGTTTTTCCTCACAATTAAACTGGGATTATGGGGCATTAGATAAAATCTCATAGAGTTGAAGTTCCCTTCTAGATTCACGTGCTCTTCCCCATCTCTCTCCCCAATACTGAGACACACACACACACACAAACTCACAGTCACACACTAACACTTTATATGGCTCTTGCTAAACTATTTGAGGTTGTAGACATCATGATGCTTTCCTGCTAAATGTCTCAGCGTGTCTCCTAAAACCAAAGATGTTTTCCTACAAAACCACAAGACAGTTTTCCTACTCAGGAAATTGAGCACCCTTATCTAATACATAGTTAATACTCAAATTTCCTACCATATACGAACAACGTCTTTTATAGCTCTTTTTTTTTTTTTCTGGAATCTAGAATTTAATAAAGGGTCACACATTGTATTTAGTTGGGGAGAGTACTTGTTTTGAATACTTTCCCTCAATTTTCACTTATGTGATTGTTTCTCCATGAGACACAGATGGAGCACTTGCAGCAGGAAAACTTTCCTGGTGATGTTGTGTCCTTTCCAGGGCATCATATCAGGAAGACAGGATGTCGCTTGTCCCACTGTTGGTGATGCTAACTTAGCCTACTTGGTGAAGATGGTGGCATTTTCTTCATTGTAATTAATAAACTTTGGGGTTGGATTTTGGGAAGATATGACTATTCTGTTCCCCAGAAATATTTCGCCCAGGAGTTTTAGAATTCTCTGATGATTTTTACAAAATGGTGATTTAAAAAATTCTATACTTCATTCTTCATTTATCACCTGACATTCTGCATGATAACTCTGAAGGCCACTGGGCAATAATAATTATCACATAAATACATTTTGTTTTGTCCCCAAAGTGTCAAATACCCAAAAAATCATGTGTTAACTGAGGTATATTCCATAAGAACTTCAGAGATATATTTCCACAGTAAAAAGAAACCCCTGTAGTCTTATAAAGCATATATTTAATAAAAGATACCTCCTAGGGGAGCCCTTGTATAAGAATAATAATAGTAATAAAAGGAAATAAAAAAACTTTTAATATATTAAATAGTTTAAAAACCTTTTAGCAAAATGTAAGCAATCAACTAAATGCACCACTGGAAATGCAGTATTGTTCAGTATTATAAACTGGCGAAAAGATAAGTCTTTTCTTGCCGAAGGATAATTTAGGGCTTTTTTTTTTAATAACCCAAAATGAATTTCAACTCTAACTTCTGATGTGTTTGATATATAGGTGCTGACGTCACAGGCATGTAACATTTCATCTTCAGCACTGTGGTGAGATTACTAACCCTTTGAGCCTCTGTTTCTCATCTGTAAGTTGAAGAGTTGGACACATTATAAAATCCTTTCAAATTCTTAATGTTGGATGATTAAAAACATTTATTATAGGAGTTGGGCTTCCTACCCCCTTTGGCTAAAGAGAGTATTGCTCTAGTTACTTGGCTTACACTCACCTGAATAAATGTAGTAATATACATGCCAAGGAGAGTAGGAAAGAGGAAAACAAAATATGGACAAAAACCATGAAGCATAGTAATAGATTATGGCAGGTCTGGTTCCCTTTCAGGACTATGTGCTATGGGAGTTTCATCTTTTGTTCCATGCAAAAAGGTTTTTAAAATAAAGACCTACCTTGGCAAGGAAAATCAGAGATATCCTTATAAACCAGCAAGGGAGAAGAGTTTAATAACCAGCTAGCTGACAGTTCTTTCTGTCCAGTGCCTCAACTACTTCCGGCTGGATCCTGACAGCAGCTCCTCCTGTCAAAGTCATCACAGAAGAGAGGATCAGTTTCTACCCTTAGGTACCTAAGGGAATGCGGAAGGGAATGTATTCCACATTCTTTCATATTTCAGCTGCCCCTTTAGCTTCTGTGCCCCAGGAGGACTAGAAAACTGGCTCTCTACTTCTTACTAATTTCTTATTAAGTTAAATAGGCAATGAAGGCATTTTGTGACTGAGCCTTCTGGTCCCCATGAAGAATGAATTCATGGGAGAGGAAGGGACTGGATTATTCTGCTGGGTGACAGTGCACTTAGGGGAAAAAGCCAAGGAAGAAAAGTCCATCGGGCATTTTTGTTTTAATTTTTAAAATTCCTGTTTAACAATACAGGGTGTGAGCTGCCTCTTGCCAAGAGTGAGTGGCAAAAGAAACTAACCCCAGAGCAATCCTACGTCACCAGAGAAAAGGGAACAGAACCGGTAAGCTAAGCTGGTTTACAGTTTTCTGATTGCGCGTGTTGGCAGTGAGGGGGGAGTTGGAATAGGTCCCGTTATGAAACCCAGCTGCCCATCAACACCCCACAGACCTGGTCTTCCTCCTCCATTGTTTCCTTCTCGAGGTATCGATATCCATCGAGCTGTAGAAACCTGATACTTTTCCCGGGACACATCGTCTCTATTCTGACTTCTAAGTAACCTTCCCGTAGTTCACTTCCATGCACTGCTCTCACCTCCCCGCGGGGCCAAGTCACTGTCACCTCCCCTGTGCATGGCCGGCCATTCTTGCTCCGGCCAACCCATTCTCCACACTGCAGCCAGAAAGAGTTCTTTGGAAAACACAAATCTGACCACATCACCCCCCAGCTCAAAACCTTTGGTGGTTGCCCAGTCCTTTCAGGGAAAAGGAAAAGCATGAAATGGCTAATAAGGTCCTAAGGGCCCCTGGCTCCCACCCCGATCCTCATATCCAGTCATTTTTCCTCCTGACTCCGCACTTTGGCTGCACCACTCTTGAACTCTCACACGCCCTGGGCTCCCTTCTCTTTTAAGGCTTTTGCACCCAGTGTTCCTTCTTCTCTCCCATCATCCCTCCCCACACCCTCCATCCATTCATTCAGACCTACCGTGTAGCTGTCAGCCCAAATCTCACTTTCTCTGGGAAAACTTCTCCTAGTCCCCAGCAAAGCTCGCTTCTAGCAGAACTCTTCCTTTATAGCATTTGCCATTGCTGCTATATCCCCTGGCACCTAACGTGGTGGCTGGCCCTACTAGGCATTCAAAAAATCAACTTTTGTAAATGTCCAATGACTGCCGGCCAAGAGGTGGAAACACTATTTAAACTGCATTCGGCAGTCTCGGCTTTCATTCATTTTCTGAGAATAACCCTCAGTGGTTTCTCATTATAACACCATTTTTTACAGCGCCGCATTTCTGTGTGTATGTGTGTGTGCATGTGTGGTGTGTATACAAGTTTATGGGGTACATGAGAAAATTTGTTACGCATATATAATGCATAGTAATCAAGTTGGGGTATTCAGGGTGTCTGTCACCTGAATACAATGCATTTTTGTTAAGTGTCATCCTCCTACTCTGCTATCAAACGCTGAGTGTATTATTTTTCTCTTACTGTATGTTTGTGCTCTTTAAGCCACTTCTCTTCATTTTCCCCCTACCCCCGCTCACCCTTTCCAGGCTCTGTTATCCATTTTTCCACTCTCTACCTCCACGTGCTCAAATTCTTTAGCTCTCACATATAAATGAGAACACAGTGCCGTGTTTCTTAACAAGTGGTCTGTCTTAGACCAAATATAGCTACTGGAATGTAGCTTTTTTGAATTGAACTTTGTTATTATATATTTTTCCTAGTGAAACAGATCCCACAGAGTGGACCCCAGCCCTGTGGCTTCAGGTATGGTAGAGTATGAATGTTTTTTCCTTCGTCAGCACCTGCAAAACTCAGGTCACTGCCCACGTGCACTGGCATTGTAATCATGGTCTCTCCCTCAGTTTCTCCAATGCTAAAGTCATCAGAAAGGCCAGCACATCCCAATAGAGTATCCTGAAATGCGGGTATGTTTGAAACCTTCCTGTGGGTGGAATTTTATTAAAGCTCTCAGTGGGAAAGAGACTATATTAGCCATGTGTGTAGATCACACAAGGGAACCACATGATACTCTGAGTAGTTGTGTGTCTTCCCAGGGTATTCTAAGCCAACCCTAATTCTCAGGTACAGAGCCAGGCAGGGCTTGGTACATAGAGCGACCGGAGAGATGAGCTGCCAGATGTTTAGGAAAATAAATCTGTCGGCTTCTCAAACAGATGGTACAATATACTCTCTGCACTTGGCCATTTGACAAAATGAGCATCATTCATTATTTTAACTAATGTTATAAATTTCTTTCCATGGATCCACTTCCACATTTACCTTTTTAGAATATCGCTGAACTGTAAGCCTTCATTAGCTTTTTTTCAGCTAAGAGAAGAGAAATAAAACATCGGAGGCTTCTCTTTGGTGACTCTAAATTAAAATTCAGTCCTGCATGTTTTGTCATGGGCAATCGTAATATGCTAGCACTCTGCTAGCCAATGAATAAATTTACAGGCTGGCTGAGCAATAACTGAGAGTCAAGTATCAATAGAGGGGAGGTTTTGTGCAGGTCATTCTCTGTCTACTCTCCAGATCCACTCTCCACGGGCTTCCCCTGCTCTGAGCTTTAGGAAGAGTGAACAGTTCCCTTTCCCCCCAGCTCTTGGTTCAGTTTAGCCAGCGGGAGACACCAGTGGCACTTGGGGGAATCTAGGTCATTATTTAACATTTAGTAAGTATGCCATGTCCTAAACATTACATGAAGCATATTATAGGCAAAATCTCTGATCTCACCGAACTATGCTTTTTATGTATTTATATTCTGTCTTTAATTGGAGATTTCAGTGTTTGACAGTGGACTAGATTCCTGTTGTGTCAACTCTTTTGAAAGGAAGACCAAAATCTCATACAATCACAGAAGATAAGACTGTTTTCTTGCCTTTTCACAGACTTTGAAGCTCTTGGATGAAAAGTCCTGTATGAATACAAAGCATTATTAATGTCATAATTTGAATATTGGGTGCAATAAAGCCCCGGCTACAAATACATTTTCAGGCTGCTTCATTGTGTGCATGATTATTTTCTCTCTGGCGCTATTTGTACTACGTCAAATCAGCACAGAAATTCCTTCATGTGGGGACTTACCCAGGATTTAAATCTGCTGTATCATCTCCTGCCAGTAGTATGAGAAATCTGAACGTGACATATCTAATTTACTTTCAGCCTTTCAGTGGGATCTACCTGAATAACAAGGAAGCAGGAATGTACCACTGTGTGTGCTGCGATAGTCCACTCTTCAGGTAAGATCAGGAACTGAAAGCCACAGGAGACCAAACCTCCAGGTTCTTGCTGCTCTGTTTCATTTGAGATCTTGGATTAAAAAATTCCCACAATACCCATGTTTGTTTTTTTTTTTTTTTTTAAAAAAAAATTGCCCTTGTCATTTTGCATTGTTGCTGTAAGGAGAGCTATTCATATAAGATACTTGCTTGTCTTGACTTTTTTCTAGCATTTAGAGCCATTAACAAGACTTCTTAGCTTATATTCTTCCTTTCTGTATCCTCAAGAAATAGCAACCAAATAAAACTTGGTGAACACCTTATGATAAAGCTATTAGAGTTTTTTTGTTTTTAGGGGGAAAGTATTTAAATAAATATAAACCATGATTATGTTTGCTGGGCCATGCGATTAAAACTCTCTCTCTCCCAGGGAAAATGGGTTTATAATTGAATTTAGGAAAGGCAGAATTTTATGAGGATAGATTCTCCACAATGCTTGACAGTAGTGAATACCATACCCTCTTCTATATAGCTAAAAGTAAATTTAATTGTCCCTCGATTTCAAAGCCTCTTTTAAGTCAATCAGGATCTGAAATCTCTCCACAAAGCCTTTTTTGTTTAGACATGCCGGAAACAGTCTTTAAAAAAAGTAGATTCAATGGAGAAGAAAGGAAAATATCTTTGAAGTCCAATTTTTCAGAACTTCAAAGATGTTTTCCTTTCTTTTGCATCAACTCTAAATTGGTTTAGAATAAAATATAAATCAAGCCAGCTCTGTGTATCACCCATTAGGCAGTGCTTCCTTCTGTCCTCTGGGCTTTGAGTGGTCTGGGCCTTCCTGCCCTGCTGGCTGCTAATGTGGGCTGCATTAGGAAGGATGAGGAGTGATTAGCATTGATTTTCCTCAGTGCTTGCAGATGGGCAGGGCTTTGCCCAGATGCATTCATGTTGGCACGGGGCAAACTAGAAGGAGGTTAATTTTTACACAGTAAAATGTGGGACTCAGGTTTCTGAGACAATAGTTATTCTTGACCTTTTATGGTTCTGTTAAAGAGGAGAGGTAGGACTTTGAGATGGCCCATGGGCTTTCAGCTAGAGAACTGTGTTGCCTGCGTGTCAAAGGCTCCCTTGTTATTGCAGGCACCAGGCAGTGCTGTCTCCCTCCCTCTGTGCACCGTGAATACAGAAGGTAAATTATCCTTGCAAGAGCATTCTCCTAAATCACGGTCTTCACTCTTCCACTTCCTTGATGTTCTGGTTTCTGCATCTGAAGAGGGGGGCCCTTCTTCCCTTCCTTTCACCTGGCAGGCTTAGTTGTGGTGTCGGAATACTGGAGCCAGGAGGGTCCTGAGTCCAGAGCAGAAGGCTCTGTCCTGTAGAACTTCCTGTGGTGATGGAGATGTCTGTATCCGGCCATGTGGTGGCCGCCCATCGCACGTGCTTGTCAAGCATTCAGGATGTGGCTAGTGTAGCCGAGAAGCTGACTTTATGAATTTAACTTTTTAAACAAAAGGCCACACACATGTGGCCAGAGGCTACTGTATTAGCACAATGCTAGTTCAAATTAAGGAAGTTACATGACCAACTCCAGGTCCTGGAGATTGTGAAACAGCCAAGACTAATGGGAAAACCAGCGATTCTCCAAAAGTCCATTAACCAAGTGGCCAGTTTACGGGACTGCCAACTCACCAACCTTATTTTTTTGTCACCATTCGGTTTGAGTTGAAAAGTTTCCGTTTTGCATTGTTAAAGACTTCCAAGTTTGCTTCTGTTCCGTGTTCCTGTTGCTGTTACTGCAGCCAAAGGAAATAATATATTCCTGAAGATTATTTATGTTCCAGAATATACTCATCTTAAAGATATACTCATCTATGGGAGAAGCAGTAGAGTGGGCTCCATTGCTGTGTGACCTTGAGCAACTTTCTTAACCTCTCTGTGTCTGATTTTCTCACCTATAAAATGAAGATAAGAGCACCTCATTTATAGAGTTGTGGGAGGATGATCTGAGTCATGAATTAATACTTGGAAAAGCATAGAGCAATGCCTGACATGCCCAACTCAGGCCAGCACTCGATCCAAGTTAGTAATGATGAATTCTTAAGCAGTAGACGCCTCTTAGGGCTGTAGACATGAATGTGCATTTGATCCTGAGGAATTCTGGCGTTATATTCTAATTAATGAGAATATACAAATGCAGACTCTATTTCTGAACCTTCTTCCCATTCCAGAGGAGTTTTAGAAATACATTCTTGTTTGGCCTCCAGTTTTCCTTCTCTTTCTGTCTGGTCTCCAGTGTGTATAGCAGGAAGAAGAGGTACAAAAATAATAATTCCTTCAAATGCTTGTGGAGAGTGAAAATGAAGGGAAAAGCTGGTCAACCAAAACTCAGTAGTTTGTTCAACAAGTAGGCACAGGGCTCGCTCCTCTGAGCTCCCTGCTCCAGTCTGGCCACTTCCTGCCCGGGATTTCCCCTCATGCTGGGCTGGCCTCCTGGGATCTGCTCAGCCCCACTAATGCATATTTCTCCAGAAACCTTATCTCATAGCATATACTCTGGGCTTTCTTTCAATCTGCTTCAAATTCCTATTAATTTGTCAGTAGCACACAATTTAGGACCTAATTATTCTCCTGTTGGCTCCAGTGTTTTATTTAGTTAAGGAGATAAACCTGATAAGGTCCTTGAGTCCCTTGACCATGTATACTTCTTGGACAAAGCTCAGAGAAGTTGTTAGGGCTTGAATTGTGACTCCCAAAAAGACATGTTGAAGTTTTAATCCCTGGAAACTGAAAATTTGACCTTATTTGGAAATAGGGTGGCTGCAGCTATAATTCGTTTAGATAAGATCATACTGGTGTGGGGTCGGCCCTAATTCCTGTATCACTGCTGTCCTTATAAGAAGAGGAGAAGAAGCCCAGACAGAGAGGAGACAGCATGTGAAAACGGTGGCAGAGACTGGTGATCCGCAGCTACAAACCAGATTGCCGGCAACATCAGAAGGTAGCAAGAGACAAGGAGGGATTCCCTAGACGCTTCAGAGCCCTGCAGACACCTTGACTTTGGACTTCTAGCCTCTAGGCTGTGAGAGAGTACCACCACTTTGTGGTACTTTGTTATAGCCATCTCAGAAACTAATACTTACGTGCCCCATAAGTACTTCTTGATTGGTGATTAATAATATCTGTCGTGCTGCTTAGATGCTGTAGCAATGTCGGGACTATCAGAAGCTGTGGTTATGAGCTGGGTACGGTGGCTCACGCCTGTAATCCCAGCACTGTGGGAGGCCAAGGCAGGCCTTGAGGTCAGGAGGTCAAGACCAGTCTGGCCAGCAGAGTGAAATCCTGTTTCACTAAAAATACAAAAATTAGCTGGGCATGGTAGCGGATGCTTGTAATCCCAGCTACTAGGAAGGCTGAAGCAGGAGAATCACTTGAACCTGGGAGGTGGATGTTTCAGTGAGCTGAGAGCAAGCCACTGCACTCCAGCCTGGGCGACAGAGTGAGAATCCATCTAAAAACAAACAAAAAGAAGCTGTGGTTATGAAATCACTGTGGAAATGTGTGAGGGAAGTGGCTGCAACTTCTTGAGCATTTATATGCTGGACACTGGGCTCCAGTACTTTGCAAACAATCCTTACCCTCCAACAAGGAGCTATTAAAACCCACATTTAACAGATGTGAATACTGAGGCTTAAAGAATTAGGTCACTTATCTAGTAAGTGATATTGCAGGGATTGGGGCTCCACTGGAGCCTGTACAGTGCACTCTTCTTGAGAATGGGAAGCTCCACAGCAATGAAGGAGCCCTCTGGGCATGTGGCAGGTGCTGTGCCTAGGCTCTTCATGTGCATCATTTCATCAGACCTCTAGGCAGCTCAGCGTAGTGTTATCATTATTATCATTTCACATGAGGAAACTGAGACCTAGGAAGATAAAATCACTTGTCCAGGGTTCAGCAGCTTATAGGTAGGCAGCCAAAATACGAACCCACAGTTTTGGACTCCAGAGCCCACATTCTTACTAGCTGAGCTTCCATAAGCCACGTGGGCAGCACCATTGACATAGGCGCCATCGCCTTCTAGTGCCTGTTTTCTGAATTACAGGCTTTGTTTCCCAGAAGATGTAAGCAGCCTCTAAGGGTCGCTGGCCAGTGTAACTCATGAGTTTCCTTTACAGAGCCTTGTTCCCAGCCTCATCTGCCAGACTTACTGTCATTCCCCTCATCATCCTATAGTTGTTGGAATGAGTTTGATACACAGTTTTGGAGAGCTTCTGCCTCTCCAAAGCTGGGACTCCAGACTATCATTTCCTTAAATTGGAATGAAGTGACATTGCCCCCCACTGCTGCTTCCTCTCCTCCTTCTCTCCTTCCTTCTCCCTTGTTTTCTTCCCCATAAGCCTTTTTTGGAAAGTGCTTATTAAAATCTACTGTGGGATCACATATTTCATGACCATAAATCTTCATAAAAGGAAACAGAGCCTGATACTGGTTCACTTTTTATATAACATCCTGATGTTATACGTGCCATGAGGAACTAAATAATATTGTTAAAAGCCTTTTGGGCCGGGCACGGTGGCTCAAGCCTGTAATCCCAGCACTTTGGGAGGCCGAGGCGGGTCGATCATGAGGTCGAGATCGAGACCATCCTGGTCAATAAGGTGAAACCCCATCTCTACTAAAAGTACAAATATTAGCTGGGCATGGTGGTGTGCTCTTGTAGTCCCAGCTACTTGGGAGGCTGAGGCAGAATTGCTTGAACCCAGGAGGCGGAGGTTTCGGTGAGCCAATTGTGCCATTGCACTCCAGTCTGGGTAACAGCAGCGAAACTCCGTCTCTCAAAAAAAAAAAACCAAAAAAAAACTTTTGTGTGCCCCATTTTCTCAAAGGAATAGACATTCTTCTAAGCGGTTAGGGTTGTCAGTTATCACCAAGTGCCTGTGCTGTTGGTTGGGAACTGCGGAACTTCCAGAAATCAAAGAAAACCAAAGCAAATAAAATGCAACAAAATAAAAGGCCCTTAGGGTATATGATTCAGAATGGTTTTAGAGCTTCAAGGGCAAACCTTACGATCTGCTAATCACTTCAATATGTATATTGGAATTTCTGATTGGCTTTAATATTTTTGGTTCCCAATCTTGATTTATATATGTTGGGCCTCTCATATTACTTGGTAAAATCTCCAGATTCTGCTAATTGCATCAATAAAGATTTATTGTTTCCCATAAATGCTTTAATGAGGTTTTATTAGTCTTAGATTCATTCATTTAAATACTTTTATTATATTCATAATTCGCCATCAAAATTCCTTTAATGATTACTAGTTTAAATATAATGTTGAGGATGAAAAGGCTGGATGAAACAATACTTGATGATGTTTTACCCTGAGCAGAGTGGCCAGGTGAATGGTTTTGAACCCCTGGAAGAGGGTTGTAAACCCGACCTGAACATGAAGACACTTCTAGTTGGACCCACTACTGCTCACATTTTATAGATTTCTGTTATTAATAATAAAAAATATATTAAAAATAATAGCTACTGGCTTATGTGCCATGTGTCATGTGCTTGTGTGTCATGTTTACCATGGTAAGCATACTATATACAGAAAGTGAGGTGATAATGCCATTGCTATTGTTAGCTTAAAAAATAATACAACCTATACATTTAGAAAAGGAGACTTTATTTCTTCTAAGGGCTTACAGCCTTCAAGGCGGCCATCCTACAGGCTGGGAAGCCAGCTCCCAGCCAAGAGCAGCCACAGGCACTTGGAAGGGGGAACAGCTGGGGTAGGGGCTTTATGCTGATGGCGTTGGCTAAATACACGTATTTAACAGCTCACAGGAGGGGCTATGAAAATTCATGAAGATGGTCCTGACATATGCATATTGAACAAACATGCATGTAACATATGACCTATGTTTATTTGGGGGTAGAAACGTAACATTTAAATGTATTATAATTAGACCCTATACATCAAAAGATTTTTCAGAATATGAAGGCTTGAAAGTGCATAGCCTCTGTAAAGCATCAGAACCAGTTCATGGTCTTTTAATCAGGAGAAAGTTACTAAAATCAGCCTCTTGTGCAATCAAAGCTGTAGTTACTGCTGGTGGAACAGAGGCTCTCAGGTAGTCCGTGCCTGATGGTAGGCAAGCTGCAATTGCTTCAGCACTGCCTATCTCAAGACCAGGGCTTGTTTAGCTGCTAGAGAAAAAGAAAACCCTTGTGGCAGTTAGAATATAGTTGATTCTTTGGCCAGGCATGGTAGCTCAAGCCTGTAATCCCAGCACTTTGGGAGGCCGAGGTGGGTGGATCATGAGGTCAAGAGATCGAGACCATCTTGGTCAACATGGTGAAACCCCGTCTCTACTAAAAATACAAAAAATTAGCTGGGCATGGTGGCGCGTGCCTGTAATCCCAGCTACTCAGAAGGCTGAGGCAGGAGAATTGCCTGAACCGAAGAGGTGGAGGTTGTGGTGAGCCGAGATCACGCCATTCCACTCCAGCCTGGGTAACAAGAGCAAAACTCTATCTCAAAAAAAAAAAAGGAATATGGTTGATTCTTTAAGTGTAGAGGTACATGACTTCACCCTTGCCTGGCATGGCCTTAGGTCCTGTTTATAATTTGGTATATTATTGCCACACAGAGTCTGCTCTGCCAGTCTTATGATCTCTATTTAAACATTAATGCTGGTCATTTGTTGTGTCTAAACCACGAAAGGGCCGGGGTATAATGAAGTGTGTCTGACCTTCTGTCCCATCATGACTGGAAACTCAGTTTAAAGGCTTTTCAGAGTCTCCTTGGCCAAGAGGGGGTCTATTCAGTCAGTGGGTAGCTTAGAACTTTATTTTTAGTTTATACTTTTCTATAGATTAGGACACTGAGGCTTCATAAGATTCCATGACTTGCCCAGGTCATACACATGTAACAGACAGATCCCGGATTCACACCCAAATCTTTCAGAAGTCAAAGCCCTTCCTCCTAATGGCTATACTTGTGGTTCTCAAAGCTTGGTCTGAGGACCCTCCCAGGGATTCCTGGGAGGGAAATCAAAACAACAGAGCAGCAGACTGAATGCAGAGGCACATATGAAGATTCAGTTGTCTTTTTCTAAGTCACACATTAAAGAGCCTTGCAAAATTGTAAAACAGTGCAACTCTTCTCATGAAACATTTGTTTCATTTTGAAAAGTATAATTATTTGTCATAAATATAGGTTTTTTTTTTAAATTTTTTATTGGATTTTAGGTTTTGGGGTACATGAGCGGAGCATGCAAGACAGTTGCGTAGGTACACACATGGCAGTGTGCTTTGCTTTCCTTTTCCCCTTCACCCACGTTTGGCATTTCTCCCCAGGCTATCCCTCCCCACCTCCCCCTCCCACTGGCCCTCCCCTTTTCCTCCCAATAGACCCCAATGTTTAGTACTCCCCTTTCTGTGTCCATGTGTTCTCATTTTTCATCACCCGCCTATGAGTGAGAATATGCGGTGTTTCAATTTCTGTTCTTGTGTCAGTTTGCTGAGGATGATGTTCTCCAGATTCATCCATGTCCCTACAAACGACACAAACTCATCATTTCTGATTGCTGCATAATATTCCATGGTGTATATGTGCCACATTTTTCCAATCCAGTCTATTATCAGTGGGCATTTGGGTTGATTCCAGGTCTTTGCTATTGTAAACAGTGCTGCAATGAACATTCGTGTACATGTGTCCTTATAGTAGAACGATTTATAGTCTTTTGGATATATACCCAGTAATGGGATTGCTGGGTCAAATGGAATTTCTATTTCTAAGGCCTTGAGGAATCGCCACACTGTCTTCCACAGTGGTTGAACTAATTTACACTCCCACCAACAGTGTAAAAGTGTTCCTTTTTCTCCACATCCTCTCCAGCATTTGTTGTCTCCAGATTTTTTAATGATCACCATTCTAACTGGCGTGAGATGGTATCTCAATGTGGTTTTGATTTGCATCTCTCTGATGACCAGTGACGATGAGCATTTTTTCATATGATTGTTGGCCTCATATATGTCTTCTTTCGTAAAGTGTCTGTTCATATCCTTTGCCCACTTTTGAATGGGCTTGTTTTTTTCCTGTAAATCTGTTTGAGTTCTTTGTAAATTCTGGATATCAGCCCTTTGTCAGATGGGTAAACTGCAAAAATTTTTTCCCATTCTGTTGGTTGCCGATCCACCCTAGTGACTGTTTCTTTTGCCATGCAGAAGCTGTGGAGTTTAATTAGGTCCCATTTGTCTATTTTGGCTTTTGTTGCCATTGCTTTTGGTGTTTTGTTCATGAAGTCCTTGCCTACTCCTATGTCCTGGATAGTTTTGCCTAGATTTCCTTCTAGGGTTTTTATGGTGCCAGGTCTTATGTTTAAGTCTTTAATCCATCTGGAGTTAATTTTAGTGTAAGGTGTCAGGAAGGGGTCCAGTTTCTGCTTTCTGCACATGGCTAGCCAGTTTTCCCAACACCATTTGTTAAACAGGGAATCCTTTCCCCATTGCTTG